ACACACTTGACACTTGCACAAGTATAGGCCAAATAAAGAACCCTACCCACTTCTGTAACCTAACTAAAAATAAAAGTTCCTTAGTCTATAGCAAATCCAGTACTCCAACTCCTAATTCTCCACCGAAAACAGCACACAACAACTCGATAGACATAGGTGAGCATGATGCTGGAACTCCTCTTAACATAGGATCGTCATGTCCAGCAGAACTACTGGGTGCTGAACCATATTCGGGGCTGACTAACGAACTTAAATACTTCAAATGCTACTTCAACTCTCATCTTTACGTAATCCTCATAAATGCTAGATCTGTTCTAAATAAATTGCCGATGCTCAGAGCACTCACAGTAATATACAAACCCCCTGTAATTGTCATCACTGAATCTTGGTGTCATTCGGACATCCTGGATGATGAAATAAGCTTAGATAACTACACACACTTTCGGTGTGACAGGGAAGGTGGTAAGGGAGGGGGTTGTCTCATGTACTTTTTGAATGAACTTACTGTATCACAGCTAGAAAGTAGTACACTTAACATGCCTGAGACTCTATGGGTTAATGTACACTTAAATAACGTAACAGCATTAATTGGATGCACCTACAGAGCACCTGGCACCTTTAGTAATTACGAGACCCAACTCATTAATACTCTGGAGCAATTAACCGACTTACAATACGATCATAAGATCCTATGTGGGGACTTTAACTTACCTGAAATCAACTGGGATATACCCACAGGTCCAACTAAATTTGATAAGTTCTTAGACACACTGGATATACTTGGCTGGAAACAAACTGTCACTACTCCCACAAGAGGTAACAACGTACTAGACTTAATCTTCTGCCACAATATAAGCCCCCTTTCAACGCTAGTAGGTTCTGAGTTCCCAGGGAGCGACCACAAAACAGTAATGTGTGCACTGCCAATTCCGCTGAGTAGCAATGCATCTCATACCTCCACTTCACAACAAGTAATATATAGGAACTATAGTAAGGCAAACTGGGCCTTAGTTGAATCGATGCTAAGATCCTCCAAATGGGATGAATACTTCACTACTGATGACCTATCGAGAGCCCTAACCATCTTCTACCATAACTCAAACATATGCTTAGATGCTGTCATTCCACTCCAAACACTAAAGGTTTCCCCACACAGAAAGTCATTCATAAAACCAAAGGATCGTAAGAAACTGAAGAAACTCTCAACAAGTTACTTCAAACACCACGACTTTGGCACTCTAGGTCTAATACTTAAAACCCTTAGCTCCATCACACAAGCTCAAGATTTCCGTATGAGAAAGGAAGAACGCATCGCAGTAGCCAGTCCTGCTAGAGTGTATGCACTCACAGAAATCTTAAGGAAGCGAATGAATCGCAAAAATCACAGCATTTCTCTCCTCATAGACAAAGGCAGGCTATGCACTAACTCTGCAGACATATGTGAACTATTCAACAAAACGTTTGCAGGTAACTACCTTAAGCCCTCAGTCCAGCTACTCGATATACACCCTATTACTAAAATGGCACAAACTCCATCTCCACTCACACCAAACCAAATTAGCACTGTTCAATTCACTTACGCTGATATTAACCAAACTATAAGAACCCTCAAAAGTTCAAAAGGTTTCGGTACCGACGGTATATCATCTTACTTCTATAAATATGGTGGCCCTGACATTCCTCTACTGCTGCTTAAAATATTCACAATGTCCCTAGAAACCCAAACTTACCCTGACATATGGAAGACTACATTCATTATGCCTAAACACAAATCTGGCTCGAAAACTGAAGTCAGTAACTACCGGCCAATCAATATCACACCTATAGCATCTAGAATCATGGAGAGACTAGTCAAAGATAACTTAATCAAACATATGCTTAGCTGCAACATCATAAGTCCGAACCAACATGGATTCCTGAAATCCAGATCATGTTTAACATGTCACCTAGACTTCTTCAATTTTGTAACCAGCAGTCGTGACAGACGGCAACTAGTACTTGTCATCTACTTTGACATTTCTAAGGCATTTGACCGTGTTGACCATTTACTGCTAACAAATAAACTGAACTCCTTAGGAATACGTGACCCATTATTAGGATGGCTTAAATCATTCCTTAACAATAGGTCCCAAATAGTTAAACTCGGGTCTGCAACCTCCAAACCTAGCCCTATCACTTCTGGTGTAGTACAAGGTAGTGTCATTGGACCCCTCCTATTTACACTATACATCAATGACATATGCGCTTGCTTCACGCACGGGAAACCATTCATCTTTGCAGATGACCTAAAAGTAGCTTATACATTCCAACGTGATGACTTAGGGAACTTCGAGAATGTAGTACAGAAGGAATTAGATAAAATGGCTGCTTGGTCGTCCCTATGGAATCTCCAATTTAATCTGAACAAATGTGGCTGGATCTGCTTCGGTGCACCCTCAATTGACCTGAAATTAACGCTCCAATCTGCTAACCTAACAAGACTCCGAAGTGTCGTTGACCTAGGCCTGAGGTACTCTAGTGACTTGACATTCTCTGAGCAAGTAGCATCACAGACTAGAAAATCGAGGATGCTCTTAGGATGCATACTCAGGAACTTTCACGACAATGAAGCCAAGCTAATTCTGTACAAAACATGTGTCAGACCACTACTAGAATACTGTCCATTTATTATAAGCAGCACTCGCACACGTGACAAGCTAAGGATGGAAAGTATCCAACGATATTTTACCTCAAAACTGCTTGGCTACGATTGTAAGAAAGACTACATCTCACGGTGCATGATCCTAAAACTCGACCCACTTTGGACAAGGCGACTTATTATAAACCTAATATTCTTCTTTAAGGTCCTTCACAAAATATCATTCTCAGGTAACAGGGACATACAATTCGCACAGGAAGGTTCTTACGATCTGCGTAACCAAACTTCCACAGTGACAACTCATTCTTTTAAGTCAACACTCCGTGAAAACTTCTTCACAGTCATGTATTCTAAAATATGGAATAGCCTACCCCTAGATGTCAGAACTTGCTCTTCGGTTACAAGCTTCAAACGCTCTCTATACAGACTGTTTCACTCTACTGATTATATTAATAAACTATTTACTCCTAGAACGAATCAAGCACTAATCTACTACAGCACCTAAAAGACGCACTTCAACACCCTTAGCAATCTTAAAACTATAAATAAACTAGCAGCATGGATGCATAAAGACATAGTACGGAACATACAGGATTAGTTTACCCTTAGAAATAGGACCTATCCCTCATTGTAACCTTCAAACGCTTGCTATATAAACTGTTTTGTCCCAATGACTATCCCTACCAGAACCCATCACTTATTTCTAAAACGCATCAGTCATTAGAACATAAAACGCTCAGACTCATTAATACACATTATGACACTAAATAAACTCTAAGACTTCGCATAAATACGTGAAAACGCAAATACAATATAGAAAAATGTTTACTTAAGTATAATTAAGATAAACATTTATAAATGAATCATATATTAATGTCCTTTTCATGTTCACATACTTTCTCTTTCTGGTATTTTGCTGCTCCTATTCATCTTCTGGTCGAGGTCGAACAACCCTGCATCTAAACTGAAATGAGGATTAATTCCAAACCGTCTATCTCATAACCACTCAAATTCCATGAACGATCCAATTCTACCATTTGAAGACGCTGGCGAACATGCTGTAAATGAGTATTCATGATCTGAAATGAAGAAGCAACTGGTTTTCAAACAGTTTTCAACATTTTTCTCAACTTACGAATACAGTCCGCCATGCAGACACAAATGGAGCAAATGGAGAATTCTGGAATCGACCTCGGCACCATTTGATGCAGTAAAACAACCCAACATGACCTTATCTAGTTTTCGTATCCACGATCAAATTTCTTTCCTGTTATAAAACTACGATAAGACTACTGAAAAAATGGAATAAATATATCACTGATCTCAACATAATACATCAATAATCTTTAAGCCAAGGGTGCTGTTCACAACAAAGTTATATAAGAGAATTGACTTCAAGCTTTATTTTTCCCAGATATTTGTATTACATTCATGTGATGTCTGGGTTTTTTGTTCCCATTTCTATTCAATTTAATCGTAGACGTACCACTGGACTTAACCTTAAGTGACCTCAGCGACTCAGGCATTGACTTGTTAACAGCAAGGAACAATCTTATTTACTTGGAATATACAGATGATATAGCCCTCTCTCCTAGGTGAAGACGCTGACTAAGTGCAGAGTCTTCTGAACGCCTTGAGCTGCTATCTACTACTTTTGGCATGTGATTTTCTCATGCCAGATGTAAGATGATGTTACAGGACTGGACTACACTGACTCCTGGCTTAGAAATAAGGAATGAATTGGTAAAGCACGTTGATCACTGACAAAATCACAGCCCGGATACAGAAGGCTAGGTTCGCATATGCCAGTTTACGTCGCCTCTAGCGCGAACGTGATATCTGGCCTCTGACCAGAGCGCGAATGTATTGCCCAGCAGTCCATTTCGTCCTCCTTTATGTCTGTGAGACCTGGCCATTGAGGATGGAGGATATGAAAAGGCTAGCTGCGTTTGATTATGGGTGTCTGAGGCCTGTCCCCCGTGTGAAAAGGCATAATAGGATGAGTAATATTGAGGTTAGGTGTCGAGTGCCAAATAAAGAGAGGAAATCAATCGACGAGGCTGTGAAGTTAAATCGACTGAGACGGAAGTGTATATAATGTTAGATATCCGTGCTATAAATTAAACATGTTTTACACTTTCCCTAATCCTGAACCGAAACTTTTAAGATTACAACATGTTCGAATCCTAGTCTTGAAATTCGTTTCTTGGAAATTGTTTTGAGCCTGAGGAATCATGTGCAAGAGCATGTGGATTTATTCAAGGGAAGATAAAAATTATACTGCATAACAAGCTAAAATATTTAATATAGAGTCAGTGTCTACTGTCTTAGAAACTCATGCATTTTTCTTATAATGTATAACATCCACAACCTTGAACAGTGTTACAATATCGAAATTTTTGTTGTACGCAATGAAATGACGCGTTATGCACTTTTGTGAAGTTAATGGAAATGGAACTTATGGAACAATGCCTGCACACTCTATCACGCAAAACGGTGGTATTTCAAAGAATTCTAACCTAGATGTAACACCCCTTGAACATCTTTTCGTATCAAAGTTTTCAAGATTAACTATTGATGATGAATACAAATATAACTTAGCATACTTAGTAACTCAGCAGAATGGAGCACAACTTCCAGATAAAATCCCTCAAAATGATAAGCATCCATCAATTACACTGAGCGCAAAACCACTTAATCGCATTCAACTAAATGCCGTTCAAAATCAAAACGGACCTGTTGTTTCAAAAGATTATAGGAACTTGCATCGACTAGCAAACGGTAAAAAGCAGAAACCTTTGAGGAGCAAATTCCCTGCACGCCATACTTCTCCTGCGTATACTAGCAGTCCAGAATCGTGTAACCGTACTGCATCAGACTTGGATGATCGGGGAGAATATGAATACATCCCTTTTGGGAAAAGTTCCTTGAAACGTTTTGTTAATAATGATCATGATCGAGTATCAACTCATAAGACAGTGTCCAGATCATTCCGAAATGCCGTAGACTCTCGTTATTCAGGACTGAATCCCCCTGTTTTTGAACATCATACAGGATCGAATATGACTATGCCTTCAAGTGGACTTCATGACACTTATGACACAATGAAATTCATACCTACAATACCCTCAGAATCTCATCGTGAGATACCACCTAAGTCGACCAAGCCACCAGAACAATCTTATAGAGATCTCTTAGAATCAAAAAGAACAAAATTAAATTCTTCGGATCAGTTTATAAGAGATGAATTCTGTTCGCCATATGTTGCTCCCAAAGTTCAAGCATCCAAGACACTCACAAAACTGAGAGAATTTAGATCTATTGATCAGCCAAGTGAAATCAAGCCAGTCAGTAGAACAGTAGAGAACCAAAGTCCCTCAGACGTAAGTTTAAACGTCAAACATTTTCCTCATACAAATTTTTGAAAACGGTTCTGTATTTTTATCATCATATATTTAATGGATATGTTTGAATGACCTGTTTAAGGACATGGCTTATGATCTCTTGAGAATACTAGTTCAAACCACTTTCGAAAAAGTTTAAAATGGATCGTCTGAAGAAAACGTGTTTCTGTTTCCAGCTGATAGAACCGAAATTCATTATAATAAAGGTTGTTTTTGTATTTCCTTAGAAACCTTGCATAAAAGTCTCGACAGTCTGTTATGAATTTTAATCACTCCAACGTTTCGCTCGTTTAACTTTGAGATTGTACTGAGTTTGAAATTTTTGTTTTAAAATTTCAGTTAACAAGTATATGAAAAATTATCATTTTGTTTTTATTCGTACTAAACAATCAGCCACTATATTTATTCTTTCAGCAGTATTATAGTTTAATTATCAGGTGGTATGTTAATTTGTTCTAAAGATATCAACGTATATCTTGGCAATTTTACAGTCTTTTTTATTAAAATAGTATTTTATTCTAAGGCAATACCTTATGCTCATAAAGCTTGATTTCATTCAGCGTATTTTGAACATGCAACTTCCTTCTGTCTAGTGTAAGATGATGCCACAGGACTGGACCACACCAACTCCTAGCTTGAAGACTGCACCAGTCCCAGTAGAGTGATTACTGAAGAAATCTCGGTACGGACACGAGAGACTCGAATGGCACTTGCCAAATCACCTGATATCCAGCCAGCTATCGATCAAAGGATGCATCTACTACTTAGCTGTTCGCTTCGTGCTCCTTTATGGCTGTGAGATACAGCCTTTGAACGTGGAAGACATGGAACGTCTGGCCACCTGTCTTTGATCATAGGTGCCTGTGTTCTATCTACCATGTTGAGTTGTATAAGATGTTGAGCAATATGACGGCTGGGTGTCGAGTGTTAGGTAAGGAGAGAGAAAATTACTCGATGAGGTTTTGAAGCTACGTCGGTCGAAGCAGCTACGAGGTGTGGCATGCATCCCAGGCCACTGCCTTCCGAGACAAGAAATTTCAACTGACATCGCTTTAGGTTGGAAAAGAGTTAGAGGTTGTTAAACCTAAGTCACAGATTAACCCATGAAATCATATGGGGAGATGTACACTGCATGATAGCAGTCCTCAGGATTCCAAGAACCAATGGTTGGCGACAATTGGTGTTATGACTACAAATTGTCCTCATTGGCACAGGAGCACTCACCTTCTGTGGCCTTCCATACTCAATAAAATCACTGTTTCCCCATATTACTATCCTTTCTCCCTCAGATTTCTTCTTCTTGTCGTTTCCCCAAATCTCCATATTTTTTCTCTTTTGTGTTGCTTTGTGTGCTTGATGATGTTTGGCAACTTGTAATGCTGTACTTCCATGCAGATGTCTATGGTGAAATCAGTCAGTATTCATATTTGATTAGGAAGAAGCATATCAAAATGACCAATCGGAGTCTATTAGGCACCTAATAATGGATTTTTACTGTAGGAGTTGGATTTCTAAAAAAGGTATTTAAGTATGCAATTGAAGCATAGATGAAACATCATGCAGAATAAAAATCAACATGGTGATGTTACATCCTCTCGTTAAAACTTTAAATACGCTTTCAAAGATTAATTTTTCATTGCTGAGATAACAGATGTATATATTTATATTTTCAAGTTGCGGTTGAACCTAGTATTTTGTATTTGTAGAAAGCTTTAACGAGTCGATCATAGATCGATATCAGTTAGAGAACCATTGAAAACCAGAGAGTACTACCAGACAGCTGTTTCATCCTAGTTTGAGAATCATTGGCAGTACTAACCCACCACCACGGCTCGAACCCAGGACTTTCCGGTTATAAGACAAGCTGGCTCGTATACTATTCAGCCACCACTCGGACCCGACTCAATGACCAACCAGTGCATGAATTCTAACTTCCACCAATTCGTGATTTAGCGCGACTCCGACTAATGTCGTCGGTGGGACATCCATCCTCGCACTTGACTAGATGGACCTCACTGGTCACAACTTTTCACTAGAACTCCAGGAAATTAACTGGTAGAAGTTAGAATTCATGGACTGGCTGGCCATTGGATCGGGTCTCAGTGGTGGCTGAATGGTATACGAGCCAGCTTGTCTTGTAACCGGAAGGTCCTAGGTTCGAACCCTGGTGGTTGGTGCGTACTGCCGATGATTCCCACACCAGGTGGATGAAACACCTGTCTAGCAGTACTTCCTGGTTTTCAATGATTCTCTAACTGATATCAATCCTTGATCAACTCGTAAAAAACAAAACTAACCCTTGAAAACCAACTATAGAAAAGTTTGTAGTATGTGTTTGGGTTGAGTGTATATTTATGACAAGTAAAACGCCTGCTTAAAAATTAAAATTTGAAGTATTCCCTAAGCGTGTAGCTCCTAGTGTAAAGCGAAGTACGCATATCTTTCTCTTCTCTCCTTGTCCGAAAGTTATCAAAAGCTACTGGTTATTTATATTCGTGACAGCCTGGATTACCTGTCCACTACCACCATTACCAGCTGAAACTTTTCATAGCTAAATCTGACTACGATTCAAAGTAATGCTGGAAATAAAGAAAAAATGAACATACTTTCAGGATAATACAAGCTTGTTTTATTCTTTGGGTCCTCTTCAGCTACGTACATCCTAAATAAATCAATTAAATGTTACAAAATGGTGTCTAAACATACTCTTTTACAATGATTTCAAGTTGTAGATAGAAAGTATAAGCAACATAATTTCAAAGATGAGGTAGGTGGTCACTTATCTCGTGTTAAAAGAGTAACTATCTGAGGATATTAGATGGTTGGAGGTAATTGACAGGAGGCCTTGTCTGGACCTAGGTTTCGTGCTAGTTGGCACTCGTCTGTCTGTCTGTTTTCGATATAGAACTTTGCACAAATGTGCGGAAGTTCAAGTCGCCACACTCCGTGTAGCACGCGAAGCAAGAGAAGAAATTACAAGAAAAGCATAATAGAGACAGTGAGCAGAGGTGTGAGACAAAGGAGTAATAAAGAAAAACAAAACAGTTTCATTGGAGATCATAAGTCACAAGGAGTGGATGCATCTGCGCTGGCCACTGAGAACGATTTTGAGCCATGTCACCAATTGTTTCCAACCATTGATTTTTACCGTCCCGAGGACCCTAACCAGTCAGGAAGTCTACACCTTCCTACGTGGCTTAGACCAACTGTCGTGGATTTCATTGACTGGTTCGGCCAAGTTTTTGTTTGACCACCGCTAGCTTTTTTCCAGCCTGAACCTATATCCGCTAACATTGCTAGTCGAGGGAGGCGATGGCTTGGCATACGTAACACATGTCCTAACCATCTCAGTCTTTGTAACTTCACGACTTCGTCGATTGATTTCCCCTGTTTACCTAGAACTCTACGCCTAACCTCAATGTTGCTCACCTTATTATGCCACTTTACACGGGAAATAGAGCGCAGGCACCTATGATCAAAGACAGTTAGTCTTTTCATGTCTTCCACTCTCAGTGGCCAGGTCTCACAACCATAAAAGAGGACGGAGCGGACTGATGAGCAGTACACCCGCCCTTTGGTCGGTAGTCGAACATCCCGTCTACGCCAGAGTCGGCGTAAACTAACAAATGCGAAACGAGCCCCTTGTATTCGTGCTGAGATTTCGTCAGAGATCAACCCGTTGGCACTGGCTGATGGTACTTTCCAAATAAGTGAAGCGGTCAACGTGCTATACCACTTCACTTCCTATTTTTAAACTAGGCGTTGATGTAGTCCAGTCCTGTAACATCATCTTGGCACTCGTAAGCAAGGCGTATCTGCAACCTTGAAGGAGTTCATGTCCTTTCTGGGATTCGAACCTGCGTCACCTAGTGCTGCAGCCAGAGACGTTACCACTGAGCTATTCAGGCTCGCGATTGACCTTCTGTAGGATTGTGGTGGATATTTTGATTTGACACTAGTAACTAGTGTGATGCGTCTAGTCCTGTGATTGGTGTAGACTGAATTCTATCAATCAGGTTGTAGCTCACCATCACGGCGCACATTGATTTGATGATATTAGATGGTTGGAGGTTAGAGTAACTAATTATATAGTTATTAGACAAAGCGGATAGAATTGAGATTTCTCTTGGAAACAAGGATGGACTAGAGACACAATACAAGATAGAATAACAGTGAATTTATGCATATTATGGTGTAGAGTTCAGGAGGGTGAGCGGAGTGATTAGTGAGGTAAAATTATAAAATAATTTAATTTAGCACTCAGCAAGAAAAATAAGATCCGGATTTTCAAATACAGTGTGAAGTCAGTGCTACTTATTATATGGATCAGAGACTTGGCGAGTCATAAAAAGCATCTCAAACAAACTACAGGCTTTCATCAACGGCTGTCTTTGTTCAGTACTCAAGATTAGATGGCGAGAAAAGATCAACAACAGGGATCTCTGGGAGCGAACGAACCAACCAAGCAGGAACCGATTGTGCAACAAATAAGCAGGAAGAAACGGAGATGGATTGGCCGTACTCTGAGGAAACCATCAAGTGACATCACTAGACAAGCCATCGCTCGAGTGGAACCCGAACGGGAAGCGGCAAGTTGGTCGTCAGTGTAAGGGTGACTTGGAGGAGGTCATGTGAGGAGGAGATGAGGGGATGTGGGTAGACTTGGAGCGGGGTGAAAACGTTGTTGGCAGAGAACCAAACGCAATGGAAACGCGCGGCTGAAGCCCTATGTTCCTCTAGGAATTAAAGGAAATAACATTATTAGTTTAATTTAGTAGATTTGGAACCTTAATAGTGAGTTCATCAACTCAGTGAGTGAAAGTCAAAATCATGATTAAGTGGAATGTTACGCAACAGAACAAAACATCACAAAAGTACACGAACAAAACAATTATGGTTACCAGAGTAGTGACAAACAACTTACACTCCCTTTCTGAATGCAAAGGTTAAGTCAAAGTTATTTTATAGAAGTGGCTTCTGAAAACTGAGGTACGATAGACAGACAAAAACTGGTTTCTTTTCAACTAGATCGGGTTTCAAATTAGGTTGTTTTTCCTTCCCAAGGGTATCCATTTTCGATAAGGTTCTTTTAGATGAGTGTGAGTCCCTCTCCAACCTAAATTTCTACTTACATCATCTCAGAAATGATGTTGTCTATATTTTTTATCTACAACTTAAAATCACACCAACTTGAAACGTATAATTGATTTATTTAGGATGTACTCAGTATCCTGCAAAACATGTTCGTTATTTCTTTATTTGATATTCACAAATCCCTTTCTTTATACTCCAAAAGTGTGATTCTGTGCGTTTTACTTTATTCTGCGATCTAGCATGCTTATACTTCAATAAGTGAATAAGTTTTCAAGTATTGCTTTTGTAGGAATTGTATTTGTTTGGTTGGAGGGTTGCAACATAGGCTGACATTAGTTAGAGAATCATTATAAAACCAGCTGGGAGTACTCGAAGTTATTTCGTCCTATTTTGGAACTCGGCAAGAGTGCGCGCCCACTGGAGTCCGAACCCTGAAGCTTCTGGTTACAAGGTGAGCACGTAGACCAAACCCAATGTCCCATGAATTCTAACTTCTGGTAATTCATAACAAAGTGAGACAACCGGCTTTGAACCCTGGTGAATGCGTGGGGATGGAGAGTTCCAAACTAGGATGAAACAGCTGTCCAGTACTCGTAGTTTTTTCAATGGTTCGCTAATTGATGTCAGCTCATGATGAAACCCTGAAACCAAGCAAACTGAATATATATTGCTTAATGCAAAAAGATATGACGTTCAAGTGAAGAGTTACTCCTCTTTACAGCGATATCGTTCTCCAGCTGTCCAATAGCACATATATGGTGTAAATTTTCTTAGCAACGAAAAGAATACATCCAAAGATGTGTCATTAGAAATGTGAATTTTTTAGATAACAAATCACGTAATATAACGATGTTAGTCGGATCAAAACTAAGGTTAAGTAGGTAAATTGAGTGACGTAATATAATTGGCTTAAGGTATTTACAAGACTCTAGGACTCTGCAATCTACGAATGTTTGGCATGCGATTCGCCCCCGTCAAGTGTAAGATGATGTTACAGGACTGGACTACAGTGACCCCCTAGTTTAGAAATAGGGAGTGAAATGGTAGAGCACATTGACAGCTTCACTTATTTGGGTGGTACCATCAGCCAACGCCAACGGGTTGATCCCTGACAAAATCTCAGCACGGATACAGAAGGCTTGTTTCCCATATCCCAGTTTATGCCGTGTCTGGCGTAGACGTGATATCCGACTATCGATCAAAGGGCGGTTGTACTACTCAGCAGTCCGCTCCGTCCTCTTTCATGGCTGTGAGACTTGTCCATTGAGAGTGGAAGACATGAAAAGATTAGCTGTCTTTTGATCATAGGTGCCTGCGCTCTATCTCCTATGTGAAGTGGTATAATAAGGTGGGCAATATTGAGGTTAGGCGTCGAGTTCTAGGTAAGGAGGGGAAATCAGTCGACGAGGCCGTGAAATTACATCGATTGAGATGGTTAGGACATGTGTTACACATGCATGCCTAGTCATCGCCTTCCTCGATGGACAATGTTAGTTGACATGGGGTCAGGCTAGAAAAGAAATAGCGGCGGTCAAACCAAACACATGGCACCAGTCAATGAAATCTACAACAGTTAGTTTAAGCCAGCCACGTAGGAAGGTGTAGACTTCCTGGCTGGTTGGGTTCCTCGGGACGGTAAAAACCAATGGTTGGAAACAATTGGTGATATGGATCAAAATCGTTCTCAATAGCTGGTGCAGATGCATTCACTCCTTGTAATTTATAATATCCAATGATACTATATCTCTGTCTACTGTCTCTATTGTGCATTTCTTCTACTTTCTTGTCCTGGTTTGTGTGCTACATGGAGTGGAGTCTGGCGACTTGAACTGCCGCACATCGGTGCAAAGTTCTATGTTGATACAGACAGACAGACAGACAGACAATACAATCGGTTGGATTGAGTAGAACTCAACTAAAAATTGGACGAGTGTCAAGTTAACGACAGTGGTAACAAGGGGTGAAGGAAGGAGATAATACAACCAAAAAAAAAATATAAAAAAAACAAAGAATTAGGTATTCAGTATCAAGATAGATCAGGTCCAGTGTAGATTTAATGACTGAACAAACTTCTTTTGTATGCAGATTTCGGAATTAAACATGTGAATTACCAGTGTCTCTTCGGTTTGAAGAAGTTTGATTTGTACTCTTTAAGCGAGATGCTCACTTATTCTGTAGATAACGTTTCTTTGTCGTGGAGCGTTGGCTTGGTGTCTAGATCCTATCAAGTGTTCCAGGATAGAGTTGCGAGTGGCTCTTTTTCCTCCTTTATAAAATCTTTGAAATAAGTTTTGAGCGATACGTTCGAATATCAAACGAAGGATACAGCCGACATACGTAGCTTCATACGAACAGATGAATTGATGGATGCATACTGATGAATTCAGCGATGGTAGCTAACCCTTGACGTTCCAGTCAGCCATTGGTTTTGTGGAGAAAGTTGGTCTTCAGTGACTGGAACAGGTGATGAGTCTCCATTAAATTGTAGATTAAAGTAGATAGGTCTTTTAGGAGCAGAAAGTGTGGGTGGTTTTAGTTGTTTAAGCTTCATAGATTTTGTGATGAGATGTTCAGATTAGGCGTTTTGAGCACAATTCTTTTTAGACCATTCAGCTCCTCTTGACAATTTTTTTTGTTATTTTTGATTTACAGCTTGATTCCACACTGTATTTTCGGTACAAGTATGGAATTTTCAGCATGGATATCGGTAGCCCAAATTTTGCAGGCCGACCATAGATATCAGATGTGTGTCGGCGTGGGCTCGAACCCCGGACCATGTGCATGGTCGGCGAGAGTCCTAACCACTGTGCCACTGACGCACGAGTCACGAGTGCACATATTGAGGATTCTGTGGCTCAATGAACGGATCAAGTATCGTTTTATGTATTTGATGGCACCCAACTATAAAAGTTATTTGGTTGGCTGTTCTCTACTGGCTTTCTGTTGTAGGTGGATCTTTTTAGTGTTCCACCTAGTTAACGTCTTCTAAAATGGACATCTTAAAAAAAGATTTCTGAGTTGGACTCCTTCCGTAATGTGAAGTGGATTTCAGGATGGCAGCTGCTGAAAACATCCAGGATGTCTTTCAGATTCCCTGTTATTGCTAAGAAAATCTACTGTTATATATATGCGATCGTATAGCTTCAGAATAATATAGCTGAAAAGGGTAACTCTTCTCACTGAACTTTATTTTCCTTTAAATGAACAAACGTTTGCGACAGATTATATGAATTTACCAGTCAATTCAGTTCTCATGTTCAGTGTCAGCATAGGTGCCATCTCTTCATTCAAACCCTAAGGATGCTTGCCGCTGAAGAGTCCTTGACCAGGAATAAAATGCTGTCTAGCACTTCCAGGTTTCCTAATGGCTCTCTAATTGATGTCAGCTCATGATTAAATCCTGTGACCAGTGAAATTCTTGCAAACCAACACCTGGATTGTTGATTTCCACCTGTTAGTCTACACAAATATGTTAGTCTACACACAAAGCTATTGTCATTAGCTGGCCAGTATTAGTCTTCACACTCCACCTGATGCGCTCCACTTGTCGCGAAGTTTCAACAGAACTCCAGGTAACTTCTTCATGTAGCCAATCACTAGTGAGCATCAGGTTAATTTTGTAGTGTTAATCTGTAAATATATTAGTGGCTTCAACTTTGACCATGGGTTGATATTAATTATAGAAGCATTGAAAACCAGGGAATACTTGACAGCTATTTCATCTCGATGAAGTTATGGATGCATATTGATGAAGAGCCCGAAATTGGGACGAAATACGTAATTTTAATCTGTGAATAAACTTAAAATTATTAGCTTTATTAATCAGTTATTTGTTTACCACTTATATCTTCTCTTGTGTTTTCCAATGTCTATAGCCATCATCCCCTCAACAGAACTCGCATTCTCTACGTCGGTCAATCACATTTTCCGCTGGACGATTATCGAAGCAATACCAAGTGAGATATTGACAAAATTGACCATTTTGCACTCATTTAGTTCTCCGATGTGTCTAGTTTTTATTCTTAAATTCGGAGTAAACAATCACGGTTTATTTTTATGACGGCGAAGATTATTCTGATGTTTTAGTAAATTTTTTTTTGTCGTCATTTATGCAAAGGAGAAGCACGAAGACTTCAAATGGCGCGTATATCTAATTTCAAAAGTTGTGCAAGTTAGAACACAAGCTAACAAAGTGACTGTCATACTGAAGATCAAATGGCTGCAACAAAAAACTCTGGCAAGAAATCAACTAAGAGATGGATCGGGCATAAGTTGAAGAAAAAGGCCATCGAATGACATCACGCTGAATGCAGGCCATCGTTCGACAAGGAATCCGATTGGCAAGCAAAGATTTGGGTGGTCGGGGCAAAGATGACGTAGAGGAGAGATTATGTGTGGGGCATTCGATGAGAGATTATGGACAATCGTGGTGCTAGCCATCTGAAGAGGACATCAGAGGATAGAACAAAGTGGAGATATGTTACTGAAGCCCTATAATGTTCCACTCGGAACTCAAAGGAATAATGATTAGGTAAGTCACATCAATCACTATCAGTGGAAGAAATTTTTAAGAGGTCACTTCCTTCAATTGTCAGGCTAGACAACATCGTTTCAGCTACAGGCGGCCAGCATAGATGAGGATGTTAAAGCCAACCAGGATAGGAAAGACAAGACGAACCTTCATCATTCCGAAATCAATTTGGAAATCTTATGCACTCTACAGTATGAAAAATGAAATTTGAATTTTCAACACCAGTGTTGAGTTACTTGTTTTATATGGATCAGAAACATGGCCAGCGCATTAAGGAAAGCATTTCCAGTAGCTAGCTTCTTATTGAAGATTAAATGACAAGTTGGCTAGAGAGAATTAGCAAACGAGAAACTGTGGAAACAAATCAGTAAAGAATCCTATTGTTCAATAAATATTCCCGACAAAAAATGCAGATGGATCATCGGTGGATACACCTTGAAAAGACCATTGGATGTCATTACACACACCAGGCCATTGCTGTAGTGGAACCACAAATGAGAAAGGACAAGTTGGGGAGCGTGGATCTGATAGTGACATGGATGAAAAGATGAGAGACTGTGGGCAATCATGGAAACAATTCAAGGCAACCTCCGAAAATGGGACAATAAAAATAATAATAATAATGAAAGGTAAAAGGTAAAAAAAGGAAGCATGATCACTACTGTTTGTTCCACTTAAACTCAATTATTAAAAAAAAAAGTAAAACAAAAACCTGTTTTATTTTTCTGTTAAAACAAAAATAGGAGATCCTAATGAAAAGGCTGTTTCATGAACCACAGTCTATTCCATGGATTGATCATCGTGTAGGTAGCGTGAAATGCATTTGCCTTGCCTTGCTTTGCTATGCGCTGCGCTTTTTGATTAGTAAATAAATAAATCAATAAAATCCGCGTGTTTCAATTTGCGTATACTGATAACTAACCTGAGAGAAGAAAGCTACATATATATATAAATATAGTTGAAGCATAGCTTATTTTGTGTCTCTGTGTTTTTGCGATGTCAGCTGCAGTTTAACCGAATTTCTGTAACTCCTAACGCTTGTGCTTGCTGAATACACATTCACAATTTGAATGATAAATTTTAATTTTGCTTATTGAGACAGTGTTTCTATTCGCAGTGCGTTGTTCAATTGAAGAGGTTGGCAGTAACTAGGATGTTTTGTTATCATTGTGTGTGTGTGAGTTCCTGTCCAAATTTAATATATATATGTATAGAACTTGGGCTTATAGCATTGTGGTAGTTTGCCATTTCATATTAATTACTACACAACTTTGAAAATTGAGTTTTTGTAACTCCATTTATGGATAAGATTTTATTTTGATGAAGTCACACAGTGTTTGTTGTACAGTAATATTAACTGATGACCACGTTTCCAGCACAAGCTATTACTGCTCATAATCATATCAAGGTACTCGCACAAACCGAGCAATAGCACTAAGTAGTACAGCAAAAGACCTAAACGATGAAATAAAACAGATAGAAGCAGAGGCGTTGGTGTTAACTAAATATCCTATAAAATTCATTAGGAAGGTCGGAAAAGACCAAAAGCAAAATAAAAATAATGCTGAATCTAATGATGACAACATAAATAAGAGAGAATATAAGCCATCTAGTGTTATACCATATAAGCAGGGGACATCTGAGACCCTCATCACGTAGGATTCTCAATAAAGCAGGAATTAGACTAGTGGCATTTAAACCAACAAACTCACTCATGTATGCCAAGCTCTGTAGGCTAAAGGACTCAGTTGCTTGATCCAATTTGACGGCGACCATACCACATTGAAAGCACCGGTTCTCGTCCGATCACCGAAGTTAAGCAACATTGGGCCCGGTTAGTACTTGCATGGGTGACCGGCTGGGAATACAGGGTGTTGCCGGCTTTTTGTGTGCGTCGGTGGCACAGTGGTTAGGACTCACGCCAACCATGCACATGGTCCGAGGTTCGACTCCCTGCCGACGAACACCTGATATCTATGGTCGGCCTGCAAAATTTGGGCTACCGATATCCATGCTGAAAATTCCATGCTTGTACCAAAAATACGGTGTGGGATCAAGCTGTTATCAAAACAAAACAAAAAACAAATAATATAATTTACAAAATACCTTGCAATGACTGTGTGGGTTAATTCAACTACATAGGTCAAACAAGTAGATCAGGCGTAGTGAGACTACCTGTCAGAACATAAGAATTTAGCCAAGGTTAGAATGATTGATCCCACGAAGGCAAGTAATTTAGCGGGAAACTCAGCAATCGCACTGCATGCATAAACACACAACCACACAATAGGGTGGCTGGGATAGAGTCAAAATTCTAAAAGGTAATAAAGGTAGGTAGAGAAAGAGATAGACTGATTACTGAATTCTGGTTCATCGAGTCTACATCCACCCAACACAACACAATGCAACAAAAATGACTCAGCGCAAATAGCAGAGATGTGCATGGAAGATATTATTACCACCAGTCAGTCAAATGGGAGGTGGATAATAAATAATCTTAAAATTATATTTCAATTCACGTACATCATAACATTCTAACGAGTTACTTATCTTGACTATAAAAACACTCATCTTATTTCCCATCTGATTGTATTTGATTAATAACACTCATATTGTTATTTCTGAATGTACATTATCCTATATTACTGATTTTTATTCAAATGTTTAATTCTCAATTCCACTCATGTATATAAAGGAAGAAAGATTTGTGTGAGTGAGTGACTTAGTATGATTATGAGCAGTGGTGGATTGTGCTCGACACTTGGTCATCAGTTATTATTACTGTATAACAGCCCTGTGTGATTGATCAAAATAAAATCTTATCTATAATGGAGGTTTACTCTGCCACAACGCCCAAGTTGAGTTTTTGTAGTATTCTCTATTCCTTCCTATCCGTCGTAGAGTTAGTAGAATTTGCCAGTTTTCCGCCTGAGCAGGTATTGATTCCTTTCCATTACACGTATTCGCAGTTGACTTGATGAATAAAACCTCCGTTATCATTGCCTACTTCCATCCTGTTATATTGTATTTTAAAAATTGTCATCTTATCCCATCGTATTTCATGGCTGTGTTGTGTGCAATTGCGTGTAGTGCTATAGCCTGAACTGTTTTTAAGAATTCATGTCTTATTAAGGTCAACTGGTCTAGATTTTATTAAGTTTTTGTCCTACTCTGCTAGTCTGATTGATCACATTCTTTAACTTTGACCTGGCAGTCATTTCAGGGTATTAGATAAACTAAGTTGTGTTCGATTGAAAACTCAGCGAGGCGTTCGGAGTAAACACAGGAGTCAGACAAGGGTGCTTGTTATCACCAATGATATTCCTAAATGCGGTGGACTGGATTATGCGTCAGACAGTGAGTGGGAAACGAAAACACAGGGATATCCTGGACCGATGTGAAGAACCTAGAAGACCTGGATTTCGCACGTGGATGATTTATGTTTGCTGTCACTGTCACAAAATCGAAGACTTACAAGCGAATACCGACAAACTGGTCGAAGAAGCAGCTGGCGAAGACAGGACTCCATGTGAACATAGACAACATGGAGGTTATGAAAATAACCAACCCACAACAACAGCAGCAACATCCAGCGCCAATCACCATCAACGGGAGGGATTCGAGAAAGGTTACTTCATTCGCCATTGACGTCGGTGGTATAGCGGTTAGGACGCTCGCCGACCATGCACATGGTCCGGGGTTCGATCCCCGATCGACACACTCCTTTACCACGCTAAGCCAGAAATCGTACTGGTTAAGAGGAAAGGTTAGGCATGAGGCTAGCAACCCCATCCTGTAAAATAAACACTGCTACAGAAACTTCAAGCCTATAGCTTGGAGCCCTATGTTCCACTGGGGGAACGTGAAGGAAAAAAATAAAAAATACTTCATTCGCCACTTATCTAAGGAGCATTGTCTCAACTACAGGAAGTCGGAACGGACGAGGATGTCAAATCGAGCGAGAATCAGGAAGGCGAGAAACACATTCATCAACCTGAAACCAATCTGGAAATCTTCTTCACTCAGCATCAACAACAAAATTCGGTTGGATTTTCAATACAAATGTCAAGTCAGTTCTTCTATACTGAACGGATCAGAAACTTGGCGGGTGGGTCACAAAGAATATTTCCAATAGCCTGTTGCAGACCTTCACCAACAACTGTCTTCGCTGGATCTATACTGAATATCAGATGGCGGGGTCGGAAAGAATCACCAACAAGAAACTACGAGAAGAAACAAAACAAGAACCAATCGCCAATCAACAAATATGCAGGAGAAAGTGGAGATGGATTGGACACTCGCTGAGGGGGCCGCTGGATGACATCGCGCGCGCGTCAGGCCGTTGCTTGATTGGAACCAGGCCGAAAGGGAAGCGGTGAGTGGGACGTCAGTGTAAGTGTGAAGAGGAGTCGAAACAGTATGGACTAACATGAAAAGTACAGCAGAAGACAGGAGCTAGTGGAGACGTGCAGTTGAAGCCCTATGTTCCACTAGGAACCCAAGGGAACAATAATAAGTTGTGTTCAAAAATTTATCCAGTGATACATTCAATAAGCAAATTCGTTTGTCCAACTTTGTATACAAATGATTCAGGATTGACTACAGATTTGACCACGAGTCCACATCAGTTAGAGAACCACTAGGTAACCAGCAGGAAGGACTGAGCAGCCAGCGGTTTCGTCCTAGTCAAGGACTCTTCATCAGTAGACACATACCAAAGGGGTTTGAACCTGTGACCTACCAGTAGCCTAGGTGAGTTTGCAGATCATTCAGCGACTGATGCATGAATTCCAACTTTTTCCAATTCGCGGCATATAATATAGCTCAACCTCCAGCTTGTGTCGTAGGCAAGTGACAAGTGATCTATTGCCTGACTTGGTGTACAGCATTGATGGTTACTACTTCTCACTAAAGCTTCAAGTTACTGCCTCTTGTATAAAATTAGTAACTAGCGAGCATCAGATTAGTTATGAAGTGATGGTTTGCAGGATGTATTTGATTAGTTAGCGGTGTGATCAAGATGAATGTCGGGGTTGCGCAGAAAGTCACTCTATACGTTATTTTATGGTTTTAAAAGAGCGCCTGTTCACTTTCTGATGCAGAATACGCTTTTTTGTATAGCAACTGTAGGATTACATTGAAGAATGTGGACGACAATACTCCAGTAATACTTCCCAAGACACCAAATATTGGCTGGAAAGAGAGGTTGGTAGGGAAATTCGACTTTTCAAGTGATGCTTTGCAAAGATTTGATTAATTTTAGGTGAGATCATGAAATGATGAATTCATTTATGGAATTACTGAAACTTGAGGAGGATTAGACAGTTATTTCGTCCTTGTTCAGGATCCAGCAGCAGTACTCGGAAATAATGTTCAACATAAATACCTTGTTATCAAAGTGTTGGTTTGTAGGATTTGATTGGTTTCAGGATTTCATCATGAACTGATATCCGTTAGAGGACCATTAGAAAACCTGGGAGTACTGCTAGACAACTGTTTCTTCCCAGTTTAAGAACCTTCATCAGAACGCACCTTCCATGAAAGTCTGAAGCGAAAAACTTCTGGTTACTGGGCGAGCTCGTAGACTATTAGACCACTGGGACCCGATCCAATGGCCAGCCCATGAATTCCAACTGCGTGACCACTAGCGAATGCCATCAGTGTACAGTATTTGTCCTCACACCTAACCTGCTGTACCCCACTCATTCGTCACGACTTCCAACTAGAATCCAGAGACACCCACCTACATGATTAGGGTCAGTCAATGTGAACATCAGTGCTCCCAGGTTTTCCAATGGTCATCTAACCGATGTCCAAAGACAAATACCTTAATTATCCAGAACTCGGGTTAGTATAGAATTGTGTCAGTCCACTGGTATAGAAGCTCGGAATGTAGGTCAACCTAGCGCTCACTTCTTAATTTATAAGCTACAAAGTTCAGGCGATGAAATTTCGTCAGAGTTTCTACTTCAGGCCAAGTTACTCAGATCACATATTGCGACAACTATTTATGCTATCAAACAGATCATATATTTTGTATGATCTAGATAACTTGCTTTCCAAAGAAAACTATGGTGGATTTTCACCCCTCGAACTGTGTATACGGCAAACTGCTGAGCAATTTACAAGCAGTGAATTCGACTTATGACATAGTTCGACCAAGTAGGCAGCCAGAAATCGAGTAGTTCCAAGTGATTCAGCTCTCAAAGTTGAGACAAACCAGGTATGCCGTTGACAAGCTAGTCACTAGACGAGTGAAACGGTCACTTAGTGTTTCGATTGGCCTGGCTAGCAAACCCTACTAATAGATATGAAGAGTGGTATGCAAATACTTAACTCAAGCTCTATTATGTCTAACATTTATCTTCTGCACCTAGTATTTACTGGCCGGCCACACATCTACTGCTAATTGAATAACTCGTTAGCTAACTGCTTCTGATGTTAATTACTATAGTGATGGTAAATTAATACTTGTTTTGCGTCTTCAATTTGTATTTGACTTAATTTACAGAAACAAGATGAGGTATGTTGACAAAAAAATGGCTTCTACACAGTATTACACTAAATTAACAGCGCTAAGCTTGTACTGTGCAACCATTATATTCCCTATAACAAATGCCACATACTCATTAAATAATATTTTATTTCATTTTGAATATTTTAACCCTTGTGTAACATTGCATAAGTGAGAAATCTACTTATATGTATATATGTATTTATAATTTAACTTTGAGTTGATTGAGCTCAAAATCTAACAGAGTACATCAAAAATATTCACACTCAGCAGTTTCCACATACATTAGATCACTATTCATATATAAATCTATTTATGATAATAATAATAATATTGTATGGTTGGTTCGTGTGGATTAGTTCTGTTTTTACGAGTTGATCACGGATTGATATCGGTTATAGGACCATTGGAAAACAAGCAGGAAGTACTGTCAGACAGCTGTTTTGTAATTAATAGTGTTCTCTGAGCTGGTTGGTTTAGTCGCGGAGCTTTCGTCATTACCCTTCTGGACAACATCTTCAGCTCAGTATTTAGCATAAACTGAAATGATCTAAATTTCTTCATGAGTAATAGAATTGCGTCTTCCGGTAACCATTTCAACATATGTATTAACCATTTTCTATTGACTTGGATTTTAAACTTTCTGGTCACCTGATTTACTTTTTATTAGTTGGTATATTTGGTCTATATATATTAACGTGTTTGTTAATTGCATATTCGTTTGAGTACCAAACAGGCTTCTAGGAATTTCCTGACTGCACTTTTGGTGTTTCCTCTCTCTAAGATTTCGACATCTTCCCAGTTATCAAATTGATGTCCATAATTGTCTATATGCATTGATATGAAAGAATATATATATATCGTGTCTTTTCACGGCTGATTTGTGTTCCTGGATTCTGATTCGAAGGGGACGCCCACTTTGGCCAATGTAATGCCTGTTACAGTTCATACAATTTATTTTGTAAATGGTATTAATTTTATCTCCATTTTCTGTTGGATGGGTCTTTCGGTTTGCATAATATCCAATTAAGCGATTTGACTGGCTTGTGTGCTATATCTATATCAAACGGTTTCAGTATTCTAGCTGTTATTTCAGAGATATTTTTCATGTATGGTAGGGTGAATTTTCTTGTGGTCTTTAATCAGCCTAGTTTATGAATCACCAGCAGGACGCATCCACTGTCAGGGCTCGAACCCAGGACCTTCCGGTTACAAGGCATGGCTTGTTACATGGCTCGTATACCATTCAGCCACCACTGAGATCAACCAGTGCATGAATTCTAACTTCTACCAAAAAGAAAAAAGTGTTAACTTTGGTTAGAAGAAAACGTGGCTCAAATCAAAGGCATATAGCATTTGATTGTTATTTGAAGCTACGTAAAGACATGTGAAATGCACGACTAAGGTCCATAACTGACTGACTGACTGGCCGACCGATCGGTTTCAACGTAGAACTTTGCACAGATGTGCGCACCTATTCCAGTTTCCACACTGCCTTCATGTAGCACACAAAGCAAGAGAAGAGAGTAAAAAAAGAGGGGTATAATAAACAGAAATTTGAGGCAAAAGAAATAGTAATATGGAAGAATAACAGGGTTTTACTGGATATTATTTAATCACAAAGAGTGAAAGCATCTGTGCCAGCCATTGACAACGAAGATTTTGAGCCATATCACCATTTTTCTCCAGCCATCGTTGGTTGTTACCATTCTGAGGATGCCATCTAGTCAGACATTCTGCACCGCCTAACACGACTGGCTTAAACTAACTGTTGTGGATTTTGATTGACTGATGAGGCTATGCTTTGGTTTGACTACCAGTAGTTAGCTCTTTTCCAATCTAATCCATCATATGTCAGCTAACATTGCCCATTATAGAGGAAGGCAGTTGATGGCTTGATGTGCATGTGTAATACATATCCTAACCATCTCAGTTAATCGGTGTAACTTCACAACCTCATGGATTCATTTCCGCTGCTTACCTAACGTTCTCCGATGCCTAATCTCAATATTGTTCACCTTATTATACCACGTGATGTGGGAGATATATTGCAGACACCTATGATCAAAGAAAGCTAGCCAGGCTTTTCATGTCTTCCATTTTCAGTGGCCATATCTCACTCAGAGCCATAAAAGAGGAACAGAGCGAACTGCTGAACGGTACACACAACATTCGATTGACAGCCGGATATCACGTCTACCAGGGCAGAGATGGCATAACGAGCTTTCTGTATACGTGCGCAGACTTCGTCAGTGATCCACCTACTGGGACTTATGCAACTTCACTCCCAGCTCGCTTATGAGTTCACAGTGGAAACTGATGTTGAAATGGTTCAAAGTCGTTGATGACATCTCAGATGTCCGAGTCTCTGAACTTGTTTAATGATTTTCAACTATTTTTCCCGGTTTTTCTGATTCCATGCTACTTAGTAACCAGTATTATGTATCTAGTGCTTTGTTCAGTGCCCACTGGATTCTATCTGTCAGGTGTGCAATTCGACTACCGTGCTAGGTGAACTCTTATCAAGATGCATCAAACAAAGAACTGGATACAAGACACTAGTGACTACAAGATTGTCCATCTGATTTCTAACATTATTTTTCATGGATTCATTGACGCCCAACCGTTGATATTAGATGGTTGGAGGCAATCGGCCACACGAAGCCTTGGACCTAGGTTTCGGGCTAGTTGGCACTGACCAGTCAGCAAGGCGTATCTGCAACCTTGAAAGAACTCATGTCATTCCTTCTGAGATTCGAATCCATGTCACCCAGTGAGTGCTGCAGGCAGAGACGTTACCACTGAGCTATTTAAGCTTGCTATTGACCTCCTGTAGGACTGTGGTGGATATTTTGATTGGATACTAGTCAGTAACTAGCGTAGTATGTCTAATCCTCTATTCGGAGCAGACTGAATTCTGTCAGTCAGGTTGTAATGTGGCCATGTGACTGATGGAATTCAGTCTGCAGCAATCAGAGGACTAGACGCATCACACTAGTTGCTAGTGTCAAATAAAAAAATCCATCTGTGCAAATATACATATATCAGTCCGCTCCGTCCTCCTTTATGCTTGTGAAACCTGGCCACTGAGAGTGGAAGACATGAAAAGACTAACTGTCTTTGATCATAGGTGCCTGCGTTCTATTTCCCGTGTGAAGTGGCATAATAAGGTGAGCAACATTGAGGTTAGGCGTAGAGTTCTAGGTAAACAGGGGAAATCAATCGATGAAGTCGTGAAGTTACAAAGACTGAGATGGTTAGGACATGTGTTACGTATGCCAAGTCATCGCCTCCCTCGACGAGCAATGTTAGCGGATATAGGGTCAGGCTGGAAAAAAGCTAGCGGTGGTCAAACAAAAACTTGGCACCAGTCAATGAAACCCACAACAGTTGGTCTAAGCCATGTAGGAAGGTGTAGACTTCTTGACTGGCTGGTTGGGGTCCTCGGGACGGTAAAAATCAATGGTTGGAAACAATTGGTGACATGGCTCAAAATCGTTCTCAGTGGCTGGTGCAGATGCATCCACTCCTTGTGACTTATGATCTCCAATGAAACTGTTTTGTTTTTCTGTATTACTCCTTTGTCTCACACCTCTGCTCACTGTTTCTATTATGCTTTTCTTGTACTTTCTTCTCTTGCTTTGTGTGCTACAAGGAGGGAGTGTGGCGACTTGAACTGTCGCAAATTTGTGCAAAGTTCTATGTCGAAAACAGACAGATAGACATATATTGACTGATAAATTACTCTGTACTTCTGTAACTGATTGCATGATAGAATCATTATTCTCAATTTACAACAGATAACTTTTCAGTGAACACTTCGATCAGTTTCACTTAGACGTCTTCCTACTGCTTTTGTCAGTGTTGTAAAACAGTAAATGAACTTGCTTAAAACTGGAGGATATGATTAGAAAACACCCCATGGTTTGATACCGTACTAAAGTATGTACTAGAATTTGTGTTTCACTGATCACCAAAATATGTTATGGTTTCATTGTATCCTTCAACATAGGTTATGAATAACTCCGTCGCCATATATGTTGTAGTATCACCTGCCGACGCACACCTGATATCTATGGTCGGCCTGAAAAATTTAGGCTACCGATATAACATGCTGAAAATTCCATATATCTACCAAAAAATATGGTGTGGAATGAAGCTGTAATCAAAAATAAAAAAAATAAAAATAAATAACACAGTCTGACTACTGTCTTTGTATATGATAGTGATAGATTAGGCTGAGTATTCCGGACACTGTGTAAACATTGTGCCCAGAATACAGCTGTTATTACTATGGTATTTATTATTACTTATTATTATATCCTTTAATTCCTAGAGGAACATAGGGCTCCAGCCACGCGTCTCCATTGCCTTCGGTTTTCTGCCAACGTTTTCACCCCGCTCCAAGTCTGCCCACATGCTTTCGTCTCCTCTTCACATGACCTCCTCCGAGTCACCCTCGCACTGACGACGAACTCGCTGCTTGCCTTTCGGGTTCTACTCGAGTGATGGCTTGTCTAGTGATTTCTCTTGATGGTTTTCTCAGAGTATGACCAATCCATCTCCATTTCTTCCGGCCTATTTGTTGCACAATCGGTTCCTGGTGGGTTGGTTGGTTCGCTCATTGCCAGAGATCCCTGTTGCTGATCTTTTCTGGCCGGCCATCTGATCTTGAGAGAAGACAACTGTTGATGAAGGTCTGAAGTTTGTTTGAGATGGTCTTTATGACGCGCCAAGTGTCTGATCCGTGTGGTAAGTAGCACTGACTTCATATTGTAGTTGAAAATCCGGATCTTATTTTTGATGCTGAGGGATGTTGACCTCCACACAGACTTGAGAGTAATGAAAGCTTGTCTTGCTTTCCGTATCCTTGCTTTGACATCCTCGTCAGTTCCGCCTGTAGTTGAAACGATGCTTCCCAGGTAGGTGAAGGAGGTTGTTTCTTTCAGGTTCCTCCCATTTATGCTGGCTGATTGTTGTCTGTTGTTGTTGGCCAGGAATCTTCATCA